ATTCCGTGACCTTGCCCATACTGTCTGTACTCGTCAAGTATGCCCCGCTTTTAATTCTTAAGTAACAACAGCTCCCAATTCCAGATGTACTCCATCAGGCGCTGCGCTAAATGAAACACTCCAATAAGAAAAGTAGTATTCTCGTTTTTGAGATAGGAGCCCGAGGCTTCAAACAATCAAGCAACTTGCCCAAGTTCACGTAGCTGCTAAGTGACAGGGCTGCAAAGTGACAGAGCTGGAAACTGCTCCCAGGATCCTCACTGTCCTTAAAAGACCAACTCAAATGCCACTCTTTCATGACGCCTTCCCTGGGTTCCCCCGACGGGATGCGAGCGTGCCCTCCGGTGGATCCCGCGGTGCTGCTTCAGCTTCTGCTGGCTCGCCCTGCTTTGTACAAGGCACCACAGGGAGCGCGGAGACTCGGGGAGGGCCCTTTCAGCGGACCAGGCTTTGCTGTTCCACACATGGTTCCATTTAATCCTCCCAACATTCCTAGCTTGTATGGCCTTTCCATGCTGCACCCCGCCCCCGCCGCCCAGCCAGCGCCCTGGGACGGGATTGATTACACGCCTTCGGTCCCCCGAGGCCCCTGGCACAGGACTGTGTGCACGTTGCGCACTTGATAACAGAGCGCTGCATTTACAAACTCTAAATGTGGGCCGCTGTGGGGTGGCGGGGGGGTGGGTGGGTGGAGAAGGCACGAATGATACTGCGTTCCAGTGGGAGGTGAGCTGTTTGAAGCGAGGTGCAGCTATGTTCTCCCCGTTTTCACCCTCCTTACTCGTTTCCAGCCAAAGCACATTTTGACGCCAAAAGGGCAGGGCCCCAGGCTGGATGGAAAGCAAGTAGGTACTTTCTCTCTTGTCCTTATCTAACCTCTGGCTCCTAATGCTACTCTGGAAATAAACTGCAATACTGAATAGCTTTTCCATGAGCATGCGGCATTAGCAGGGGAGAGTCCGTTCTTCCGGCTGCCTTAGCAAGGCAGGAGCTGGTGCTGCTCAAAGACTTTCTCACCCATTGTCCTGTTTCGGATTTTGGGAGGGGCAGGCCCTGTTCCATGACTTGCTCTCCCCCGCAGGAAGGTGGTGAATCTCGAATAGCACCTTCGTGTCGGATTTCTGTTTCCCTCCCTCTCTCCCTTGCCACTCTCTGAAGCACTGTTCGCCCACATTTTGGTGTATGGTACAGATCTGCAGCTAACTGAAAACATTCTTTTTCAGGGTTGCAGTAAGTTGGTTCCAGAACAGTTGTGGTTTTTATGCAAAATCTGCTTAATTGGTCCCAGACCGGACATTTGGGGCCTGGACTGCAGGTGAATCCACTTATGAGACTAAGGAAAAATGGGCTTTTCAAGATTCTGTCTCCCGGGCATGCAATCATGGCAGACTAGCAGGGCCTGTTGGGGAGACTGAACACAAGCACTGCTAGGGGGCCTCCTCCAGACATCGCTTTAGGCAGCAAACAGATGAGGAAGCGGATTCGTATGCACAGAGGTGGCTGGAAGGAAAACACTCTCAGTTGCCTTAGAAAATTAATCGCTGTTACCATCAAAGATATTTTTCTGAAAGAGGGTAGTTTTTGGTTGGCGACAAAAGAATCTTTCATTCACAACTTTCCCTCTAGGAAAAAACCAGAATGCAAGATTCTGGATCACTTGTCTGAAGAGACAATAAGATGAAGGATCAATGGAGAAAAAAGAAAATGAGAAGTCACATGTGACATCCTTAGATAAGCCTAAAAATCTCTGCAAAGGAGATAAAACACATGTCTTTGTCTATATCTAAAAAACAAAAACCTCTGAAGATATAAACCACTATGGCACTAAGGGAGGCAGCCTGAACCCATTCAATATGCAAGGATGTTCTAGAAGAATCCATCAGAGGAGCTGACACATCAATCACTTTCAAGAAATGTTATACCTCAGTGTAGTAGGGAGTCCACACACATGGACTGATGGTCCTCCTAGGAATCCTCACTGTATAATAACTCAGCTTCCCATCTGCATCAACTATCAGAACGGTCGGGGAAAAGCAATGGCGATCATTCCTACTTTCGGCTGTTTCACCTGTTTGTCGTTCTGCAGAGGCAAGAACTAGGTCTGTCCTGATTTCAGACCATTCTACTCTACTCTGTGGGCGGCATGATTTTTGGTTTCATTGCTTTGACCAAAATGCAGGGCCTTTTTGCTTACGTGGCTGAATTACTCATCATCTGGTTCAGTGGCTACTTTTTTTCTCAGCACTTCATAGCCTCCATGAAGCAGAAAACGTACTTCGGATTCGAAAGACTCAGGTGTGAATCCAGCTCGGAATGATCTATGTAATTTTGAATGCATTACGAATTTTCCTTATTCCTACATTTTCACTTTCTTTCTGGAGTGGGGATACCTCCTCTACCAAAGATTCTGAGAATTAAAACTTAACACGACAGGCTTGACAGTCATTACTTTCATTCCTTCCTAATGCTTTTTTTCCCTCTCTTCTTGCTCCCTTAACCTGCCACAGCACCTCAAAGTGACCAGCTGCACGGACTGCGATGTGACGGGCTAGTTTTTCTCTGAAGCCCAGCAAGCCTGACGTTTTGGTGGGCCTGCTTTAAGGGGCTAAATATGATTATTTTTCCCCCCACAGATTTTCAGATCAGAGCGAAATAATGCCACTGCTGTGTAAGCCTTGAACTTAGCAGTGAGTAACAGAGGCAGTTTCCATTTTGTCAGACTAGTCTGTACTGTAATTACAAGCCGTGGAGGAGGGGTTTGAAGGCGGACCTCATCTGGTCTGGAAGACTGAGAGACTTCAGAGAGATGGCTACTAGGATGGAATCTCACTGTACAGGAAGAATCTCAATGCAGCAAGGGAAAGGAGGGTATTTTTAGAGTAGAAAATTATAGTAAAGCTGAGGTTGTGTTTAGGTTCAGTAAGAAGCTGGAATGTAGAGCTATGTTTTTTGTTTTTTAAGCACGCTCCATGCCGAGTGGAGCCCAGCCTGGGCCTCGAACTCCCGATCCTGAGATCAAGACCCGAGATCAAGAGTCGGATGCTTAACCGAGTGAGCCACCCAGGAGCCCCACGCAGGGCTATGTTTAAAGTTTCTTTCACCCTAAGGCTGCTTGTATGCCCTATTTTTACAGCCACTCCAAAAGTTGCAGGAAACCCCCAGATTCTTTTCTTCAATCAAGGCTTCAATGACCATCACACTCCCTGGGGGACTATGTCCTGGCAACTCAGCTCAGCACTCCCAAGGCAAACCATTTGCCCAGTTTCACCGGTGCAGCTTACTAGATGATCCTTATTTACACAGGAGTCAATTCATTATTTCTTGCAGGTGGATCTTAAAAGTACCTACATGCATTTAACTAACCCTTGAATAAACTTTAGATGTCTGATTATGTTAACAGCCTATATAATTTCACGGAGGACCACTGGTGTAGCTACCCTTATTGGATCTATAGCTTGGAGGAAGTAAGACTGACTGACTGGACAACACTTAGAAAAATTCCAGGCCTTCCTAAAATTCTTCATGGCCCAACTTGCATAGGCAAAAACCGAAGCCTTGGCGCCCTCTGGCGGCAGACTGGTTCTTACGGTCATAAGCTTCTCCAGTAGGAATAGGCAAGCATGTATGAGCACAGAAGCCACAGGATAATAAACATGGCACATTTTCCTAGATCATCTTTACTGAAGATTTTTTTTGGGGGGGAGGGCGGAGAAAGTGGGTAATGCAAAACATTTTTATATGAAAACAAATGCAGATAATATTGAATAGAATATAAAATTTACATTACTTTTTGAGACAAAGTAAGAGACATCAAAGACATTTCATGCTCATGAGCTTCAGGCTGTAGTCCCAAACCCTGCGGGAGGGAGGAGACCCCTGCATGCTCACTCTGATATGATGGGTGCTGCTCTTTTGACAGAGAAATCTGAGCAGTAGCAAATTAAGTGCTTACTCACTGGCAAAATCCCAGTGGATTATTTAAGTGAAACCATATGCTTTCTCATCTTTGAGCATCTGAACTGCTTTTAAAAGGCCTGAGTAAATAGGAGCTTTATGCTTGAGTTGCAATGATTTCCTTCTAAAATGGTTTTTTCCTCCTATGAATGCTAACATGACTAACTGAGGGTATGACATGCGAGGTGGTCAATATCCTAAGCGCCCTGTGGACCTAAGTGTGCATTACCAGGTATGAAGTTTTAAGTACACTTTCCAAGGGCCGTCACTAGGAAAGAAAAGCAAACTACTCACCTTCTGCAACAACAACAAAGAAACAAAATTAAAAACTGAACAGAAGATTGTAAGATGATAATCGGTACAGAAATATTATATACGCGTAGAACTGTATAATGATACAATTTAGGGACTGGCAAACACTTAGCTCTTAGAGAAGGGCCTACTGCTGCAGTATTCGCTTCTCATATTTTATACGACAAGAATTTCTTTTTTGGGGAAAAAGAAGCCAATATGTTTCCTTTCCAAATCTTGCTTGTTCTAATTCCCCCCCGCTTTTTTGTTGTTGGCAATAATTACTTTGCAGTAAGAGACTGAAGGAGTACATACCCTGTGTAGAGATTTTCCAGGGTCATTAGCAATGGATTATCTTTTTCAAGGACGAGAGACAGGGTTAATCAAACATCCTTAGAAGCATATAACGGGAGGCAGATTCTGATGGATGCTGAGGTTTTAGGGTCTACTTTAGTAAAGAAAAGGTAATTCATAACCTCCCATATAGTTTACCTTATTACATTTCTTAAGTTCTGTAGAATTCTTTCTTTCTTCTTGAGAATGTACTCTACATTTTACAAAGCCTTAAAATTAAGACTCAAGTCACATAACAACCTGCCTATACCTTTTGGGAAAATACAACTTTTTTTTCTTCCCCGTTTAAAAGAATGAGTTTGGAGCAAAAATGTCCCACTTCAGAATAACTAAAGGGGGAACATCAGTGGTAAGTTATGTAGTGCTGATAAAAAGAACAAAAAAGGCAGACACCAAACACCTCCATTTTCCCAAGATTAAATGATTATTAAAAAAGCGCGCCACACTGTATAGAAATCAACATTCTCTCCCATAATTCTGTGCATCTGGGACTATAGAAATGTCACTGTCCCTGCCCCACATCTTCAAATTAACATTCTCAGGTCACAACAATAAGTCTTCCCAAAGGGGACCTTCCGGAAAAACAAGCTATTTCCTCGGCTCATATTTCCCTGGAAAAAAAAATAAAATAAAAACAAATAAAGTCTAGTGTGAACATGAGGTCAGCCAGTCCAAATCAGCAGAGATGCACCTGCACACTTTTCTGGAGATGTGACTAAAAAGGGCCACGACAAGACTGGGTCTCTTACCACAGAGCAGTAGTGCGCACTCTGACCCCAGCCGAGCTTTCTGGGAATTCACTACGATGCTGCCACGTGGATAAGGCAAGGATCTCTTATTTAGACAGAACTCCCAGTTCGGATTCTGGCTCTGCCACGTGCTAGCTAGGTTATCATATGAGTCAATACATACAGAGTGCTGAGACGGTCCCACCACTCACTAAGGGCTAGCTTTTATTTACTTTTTAATGGAATGGTCAGATCTCCAGGAAGTACTTATAAAATCTTACAATTAGAGTAATAATGTTGTAAGCTTAATTGAATAGACTGCACATAGATCCCACTCTCACAAACATAGGCTGTGTAACCCTGGATTATATAATTAGCGTTATTTAACGGTTCAAAGTCCCAATTTCTTCAGATGTGAGGTGGGACGATAAAGAATGGTACCTATCCTCATACGGTTATTTTGACAGTTACAGGAGCTGATACACAGGAGGCTCTCAGCACGATGCCTGATACCCAGTAAATACCCCATCAAGATTTGTTGTTGTCCTAAGCACTTAGAGGACTGACAGCTCCCTAGGTAAGGTATCTGATACCCTAATACATTTTCTATCTACTTTCTTCGTACAGCAGGGGGTTAGTTAGAAAATAGGGAAAGAAGGGCCATCTTTCCTTTTAAATGGGGACCATAATAGGAGATTGCCTAACAGAGAGTGTAAGACTCAGAATGAAACCCAGAATGTTCACTGTTAGGTCTGCATGGAAATGATCCAGGTGTTGCAGCTTGGCTCCACAGAGGGGCTTGGCTCCACAGAGGGGCTTGCCTGGCCTGCATGCGGGCAAAGGCAACTACGGTAGTGCTTAGGCCTTTTCATTTGGAGTTCAGGCTGGGGGGAGCCCGAGCTCTGTGAACAGAGGCCTTTCTCACACACATTACTAGTGCTATCGTTTAGTGCAACAAAGAGGTTCCTCATACACTATCTTCTACAATCCTTGAAAAAGTGCTTGCCACTTAAAAACAGCTTTAAACTGATGGCCACTTAAAGTGATCCTGTGTTAAATTTCGCACACAGCCACCCATTATTTTGGTTCCTAATAAAGCTTTGCCTAGACTGGCTGAGAATTTTTGGTTGTAGTTGACACACTTCACAGCAGTAACAAAGAAGAAATTGGGAGTCTGGATAAAATCATTCTCTAAAAAGACTCTAGAAGTAAGAGACCAGCTCCATCAACATCACTGTGACAAATAATGTCATAAACAACCTCTTGTTTCTCAGTTTCCTCTCTACTATACTGGAGAAAAACACCTGAATATATAAAGAGATCCTGAGAAGTTACAAAGAGAGGTAACGTTAGAAAAAAATAATCTGAAATTGAGGTCATCGTTTTAAAACCCAGGATAACTGTCTACCCAGACCCTATTTATAATTTGAATGTGATCGCTCAAATGGCTTCTAGGTCACACCTAGGGATTCTTAACTCATTACCCCTCCTGATACTTCTAAGCAGCACATCTTACTGCTATGCTGGAGTGACATACAGAACAGTGTAAAGGGTACATTAATTGGTAACTAAAGGGTAACCTACAAAAATTAACCTGGGATTCCAGAGACATTATTTAAGAAGACAAACAAAAACAAAACAAAGTATGAGAGAGAGGAGGGGTGAGGAGGGAGGGAAGAATGGAGAGAGAAAGAGAGAGAGAGAGAATGAGACAGAAGTACCTCTTTTTGTAGCATGCACCAGCAATCTATCCAAGAAGTATATACTGGGGAGTAAGGAGGGCATCCACCAGCAAGCCTGAAAATAGGGGGGGGGAAGAAAAAAAGAGCTATTCAAATTAACATTTCCAAAGCATTCTCTCAAGAGTTCGATAAATCTTTGCCAAAATATTCTCCTACCTAGAAAGTTCCCCAAGAGGCAATTTTAGTTTTAATGGAACAAATTATACTGGAGCAGGGAAAAGAAAAAGCATCCAAAAAGGATTTCCCTCCCTCATATTTAGGTCTTTTTTTTTTTTTTTAATTTTTATTTTTTTGACAGAGAGAGACACAGCAAGAGAGGCAACACAAGCAGGGGGAGTGGGAGAGGGAGAAGCAGGCTTCCCGTTGAGCAGGGAGCCCAATGTGGGGCTTGATCCCAGGACCCTGGGACCATGACCTGAGCTGAAGGCAGATGCTTAACGACTGAGCCACCCAGGCGCCCCGAGAATTTTTATTTTTAGGTAATCTCTATACCCAATGTGGGGCTCGAACTCATAACCCTGAGATCAAGAGTTGCACGCTCCCTGACTGAACCAGCCAGGTGCCCCTCATATTTAGGCTCTGAAACAAGTAAACAGAAACTTCAACCAGTTATGAATTTTCAAAAACACCCGGGTTTTTGAGGATGAATATAATTCCAGAATATAGCAATTATATGATTAAAGTGCAGAGAAAGGGGATTTAAAAACTAAGTCGGGGGGTGGGCGCCCAGGGTGGCTCAGTCGGTTAGACGTCTGCCTCCTGCTCAGGTCATGATCCCAAGGTCCTGGGATCGATCCCTGCACTGGGCTCCCTGCTCATCAGGGAGCCTGCTTCTCCTTCTCCCTCTGCTGCTCCCCCTGCTTGTGCTCTCTCTGTCAAATAAATAAAAAAATAAAATCTTTAAAAACTAAAAACTTGGGGCGCCTGGGTGGCTCAGTTGTTAAGCATCTGCCTTCGGCTCAGGTCATGATCCCAGGGTCCTGGGATCGAGCCCCACATCGGGCTCCCTGCTCAGTGGGGAACCTGCTTCTCCCTCTCCCATTGCCCCTGCTTGTGTTCCCTCTCTCACTGTGTCTCTCTCTGTCAAATAAATCTTAAATAAATAAATAAATAAATAAATAAAAACTAAAAACTAAGTGGTGTTCAAAAGAACCTAAATAGGACAATACATCTAAACTGTGGCGATCACATGCTTTACTCACGTATAACCCATAATCACTTCCTCCCTAAACATTTGTAAGGAACAGTAATACATTCAACTCATCCTTCAAGTATGCCCTGGGCTAAAATGTGGCCACCGCCCTACCAATCACAAAACAAACAGAATGCGACATGATATGAAATATGACAACTATGTTCAAAACTCCACACGGCTCTCTGCTTGACCTCTTGTTTGAAAACCATGATAGGTCTCATGGCACACTGTGTCAGGGACTGTATTGGAACAGTCCTGAATTAAAGCAGGAGGCAAAATTTCTGCCCAATGTGGTGCAGGCTCTGGGCATCCAGAAGCTGGAAATGAGTGGTGCCTACCACCGTACCACCACCCACCCTCCCAACCGAATCAGTGAAAGGTTGTTAAACTTCCCATGAAAAAAAAGAAAAAAAGAACCTTTCTAGGGACCAAATTTCCTACTTTTCTTTCTTTAAAACTTACTTTCTCCATGCGGCCCCTAGGAAAAACAGGTACAGGCTACCATCCAATCCCTGACATACCCTTTGTAACTTTCATAAGAAGGAGGATAAAGGTTTAAGATAAAGGAAGGATGTGGAAATAGAGTAATTTGATCACAATCCCGCCTAAACTACAGGCAAGTGTACATTTTCTGTAAGTACTTGAGAGGTATTTTTATGCCCTTCTCTATTCTCAAAGAGGACATGAGGGGGCTGCTTATAATATAAACTGATGCCGTTGCTTGTGCATGGTGCAGACAGAGAAAAAATTCAGGCATCAACTGTACTCTTCTTCCCCAAATCTCTCCCTGGACTGCTCTGCCTGTCAGGTGTTCAGGCAGCCAACTACCAGGATAAGAAATGCAAGGCACTTACCCACAGTTGTTGACAGCCATAAGATTAGAGACAAGCACAAAGGGATAGGTCAACATACTGGCAAAAAACTGTAAAGTGGTAAGAGACAGCTAAGTTATTAGGTCATTCCGCATCTTTAGTCTCTTCTTTCCTCTCAAGTCCTAGAGCCACTGCGGCCAATACTCCAACACTGGTTTTGCTTTCTCAGCATCCCAGGAAAGACGAAATCACACATTTTTGAGCCTAATAGGAGGAGACGCTTCCTCCTAACATCCCACTACATCCAACAATTTAACAAAAGGCCAGAAGGCTTCTCTTATTGTGACTGAGTCCTCTTTCGAGTAAACTGAAGCACATTATTTAACAGAAAAAATAAACACAATTAAATACAATGAAGCATTTTGAAACACCCCTGGAGACAGTAAGAAAATGTGAGTGTCCTTCCAAAGATGATGGAAGCTACTTCAGAAGTCAACTACTGGAAGACTTCACTCGACTCAAGAGGGTGAAGCTCTCCAGGGCAGGATCAGCAGGGTGCAGTGGGAAGCAGGCCTGAGACTTGGAGGCCAGGCTGTGGTGAGAAATGCCCACCCCCGGCAAGCCAAACAGACCAAGCCATGTGGGCTTGTTAGTGCCATTCCTGTGACGCAGGGACTCTGGGTTATTCTCACCTCTGACAAACATTAACGAACTTAAGAGACTCTCCTTTGAGACATCTCGTTGTCTTAAAGCAGCGATAACACATGACCCAAGTGAAATTTAAAAGAAAACAAAACAAAACACAACTGTCCCTAGGTTAAGAGGATTTAAAAAAACTCACTCCTGTGACAGCTTGGGAATAACTCTTCATTTCACTCATGGTGGAAACCTAAAACACGAAGAAAGCCTGTATTAGAACGAGTAAGGAAATGAAGATGATGTTAAGAGCGAATTGTCCCCAACCATATCAATCTGTTCTAAATTTTTAGTGTCTCTGACAGCCGGAAAATTAATTTCAAGATGAAAACATAAAATACTGATTATGAGCATAAAAAGGCAGGGGACAAAACGATCAACTTTGTTCAATATGAAGAGAAAACTCGCATGAGACGACGATGGCTGAGGAGCAAAAAAAAAAAAGGCAGTGAGACTGGTAATCTTTTGCCATGTCCTAGAAATCCAATCCCTGGAAACGACATTTGTGGTGTATCTGAGGGACAAGTCACTATCTCTGTATGCGCCCAGCTGTGTCCCAGATGCTGCAGAGACCAGTCTCCGTACTCTAGAAGCGCACTGTGTGTGTGGGTTTAGTCCTCCCTCCGTGTGTTCTATTTCCCACCATGCTATGGGGCTGCCTCTGTACAGAGAGGCCCGCAGCTTCCAGGAAAGGCTGATTCTCAAAACCTCCCAGGCTGAGGTTTCTAAAAAGCCCAAACCAGGAGTCCCTTTAACATTTCAGATTAGATGAAATACCCTTGATACACTATAAAACTGTCCTGTTTCGCAGTGTCCTCAAAAATCACAGATCAGTACAGAGGTGATCTCTTCGCAGCACAGAGACAGGGCTAGATTTCTTAGGCTTCCTTAGCTATACCCCATGGACTTTTTAGGTGCATCTTTCTATGGTAAATAGTCTAGGTCATCCCATTAGCCTTTGAAAACCTGACTGACAATGTTTAGCCATATAACGATGAGTCTGGCAAAATGCCGCCTTATCTTTTTTTTAAAGTAGGTTCCATGCCAAACCTGGGGTTTGAACTTGCGACCCTGAGATTAAGAGTCACATGCTCTACTGTCTGAGCCAGCCAAGTGCCCCACCACCTTACTTTAAAGCTAACCAAGCTGGGGCGCCTGGGTGGCTTAGTCGTTTGGTGCCTTCGGCTCAGGTCGTGATCCCAGGGTCCTGGGATCGAGCCCCGCATCAGGCTCCCTGCTCAGCAGGAAGCCTGCTTCTCCCTCTCCCACTCCCCCTGCTTGTGTTCCCTCTCTCACGGTCTCTCCCTGTCAAATAAATAAATAAAATCTTTAAAAAAAAATAAAAAATAAAAGAATAAAGCGAACCAAGCTGCCCAGTGAATACAATACAGTCAGCACCAGCACATCTTATCAAGATCACACCTACCCCACTGTCCAGGGCATAGGTATTGACGAGGTAGGCCAGTGAGTTACAAAGCCACAAAGAAATGATGTCACCTAGGAGGCGAGGAATAAGACCCCTACATGAAGAAACAACAAAAATAAGAACCAAGAATTGTGATCAGTAAAAAGATAATCCACTCAATACAAACACTTCTCAAAGAGAGATTTCAAAGTCTTTTGAGAGAACTGAAAAGACACTGAATGCCAGAATCTAGCACTAACTAGTTCATTCCAGTTAACATAACTGTACTTGAGGTTAATCTCTAATGACTTTCATTCCCATTTTTCAAATGCAGGCCAGCTATACCCCCTCAAAGCTACACCCAATGGCTCGCTCACCTTACTATTAAGAACTATGAGCGGGGGGACAAAAATGTGCCTGTTTTGGAGAAGAGACTTAAATATGGTTTTGGCTAAGCTACTTGATATTCAAATTTGACAGGGCCGAAAATGACCACAAAATTACAAAATGAGAATGGCCCAAACAGAGATAGGTGAGGGACATCAAAAAACACCAGGGCCTAGGTGGCCTAGGTGAGGCAGTGGGATGAACCTCACCCCACAGACTGAAGACCAGGGTTCAAATGCCACTTCCATCACTTATCAGCTGTGTGACGGCAGCAAATGAACTCCCCAGAGCACCAACTTTTTCTATTCTCTAAAATAAGAATATAATAGCTATCCTATCTCCTAGACGATTTACTTATTTATTTTTATTCTTTTTTTTTTAAAGTAGGCTCCATTCCCAACGTGGGGCTTGAACTCAAGACCCTGAGATCAAGAGCTACATGGTCTACCAACTGAGTGAGCCAGGGGCCCCCTTTTATTTGAGGCTATGACACTCAAATAAAAACAGTTAATGGAAACACTCTGAAAATGAAAGAGGACCATTTCTAGTTTCTGCTGTTAACAGAAGAACGAGAGTGATAGTCTAAGTTCTTCCAAAGGAAACCCAAGGGAATGAATACAGCCTTGCAAAAATGTATTACTCTCAGGATAAAGAAGATAATTTTCCCATTTTTCAAAAATTAAGTTTCCCCAGTTTATCAACTGTATATCATTAGGAACTTACTATTAAGGTAGAAATTTGGAATGAATTTAACAAAATTTTAACAGAACTGAAAACAAAACAAAAAAATCCCCAAACAAAAAACAAAACCCTAATATCCAATGTTTTAGATGTCTAGAAGCAAAAGTTTGGGATCTTGACAAGAGAATTCTCGAAGTCAGAGGGGCTTTAACAGAGCTTCCCATGAAGTAAACCCAGAGAGTACATCTTCTCCAAGGACTAAACAAAGAGTCGTGTCCTGATTTTCATTAAAGCTTTCTACTCCCACAAATAATTGCACACGTAAGTCAACAATTTACTTACGCAAAAAATCCTAGGATGCCCTCTTCACGATAGATGGTTACTATGGAGTCATAAAGTCCACTAGGTACAGAAGATGGAAAGGCAAAAATACATAAAGATTATTTTGGAGCTATTAAAGAAAATGTTCAATTATCACTTTTGACAAGGGAATTTATGTCCCACTCCCTTTTCTGCCACCCTCCCTCTGCAAAGACAGCTGCATTTGGAGACAGGAGTGGAGATATCACGACCTAAGGGTGCAGTCACATGGAGTCAGGCTGAGTTTTGGCTTTAGTGGCCCTGCAACTTACTCTGAGATCCTGGGTAGGTTCCTAAACCTGCCTGGGCCATTTTCTTCTATTTTACCAGTTTTTGTTCATTTTTGTGCAGAACAAATGATCTATCAATTTGTTCTGTAAACTCTAAGGCACCATAAAAACGTAAAGCACTTCAACAGATCTCTTTGAGTACTGGAAAACAAAAACACTTACCAGTACTTGGATTCTCTGCCAATGAATTGTACCATAGATCTCAGAGTGATCACTGCAGAACATAGAGAAAAGATTTTTAAAACTATGTCGAGATAAATTTTGATAGCCCTGAAAAAGAAAAAAAGTTTTTCCATCTAAAGATACTTTGCTCTCTGGATAAACTGGATAAATGCCAAAACAAGCAGGCACTTTAGTGAACTCCCATATCAACCTATCTAAGCAGTCAGGAGAGATCATGCTATGAAAGTAAGGTCACAAATCAGATTTCAGTTACCAACTATAAACCTACCGTGGAAGGGATGTGTGATGAGGGTAGCAGCAGAACGGGCCATCATCTCTCGAGTTGTCTAGAAACAATCAACACACACGTCTGAAATCTAAATAAACGACACTCAGATTCCTGTGAGAAATAACGTGGGTGACACGGCACTCCTGCCCTGAATGTGATACAATATAATACATTGTCAGTCCTCGCATACCTTGCCCTCACGGATTTCAATGTTCTGTTATGGTTACTTCTCAAAATTGATATGCAAAGCAGATTTCTCTTATCTTCTCAATTTTACAGATTGAAAAAAAACAAAACCAAAGACGAAGAGGGTCACTAGCAAACAGTAACCAAGCGGGGAATAAAACTATGAGGCCTGGTATTTAGATTTTTAAGCTGCGTTCTCCCTGTGGGCGATTTCAGAGATCTCTGAGATCTATGTTATTCAAATGTCAGGCTCTGTTTAATCTGTGCCTACGTAACAGCTCTGATCAGTTTTTCCACCACAACCCTGTGACTGTGCAGTATCTTAGAGCTGCTATTTATCCTAGTTTACCTTTCTTGCCCAGGACTCTGTAAAGAAGTAGCAGAGAAAATTAAATTACAACACTGGGGAGGTAGGTAGTGAATAGAGCAGGTCTGTTATTCATTTATGCATTTAAACATTATCTTCAGTCATCTAGTTAAGACATCCCTCGCCCCTAAGCCAATGATAGTCGTGAGAAGAGCCTGTGGGACAGGATGAGTTAACTCAAGTTAAGAAAACACAAAAACTACTAAAAAAAAAAAATACTAATACGTGTACCTCTGCTTTTAAAATAAAGTAGAAAATTTACAGAAAACAAAGTTGATTCATCTGACATCTAGACCTGCTTCTTTAGGAATATATATTTTAGAAGGCAGCATTTACTGAAGACGGTTAAACAATGTAAAGACTAAGAAATAAGAGAGTAGTTTTGAAAGTCATAAATATTAGGTCAGGCACGAAACAAGCTGCAATAGCAGAAGAAGGGAATGGGAAATGGGTATGAGGAACAATCCCAAGTCAAAATAATGTTGTAAAAGCATCTCCAGGTAGATAATATCCAACACACGAAGGGCCTGGCCACTACTTCAACACCCCTGTGTCAGAGGTTTACACCTCTGTTAGAAGACTCAGTAGAAACCTGTTCAATTTTAAAGATGAAATGAGTGGACAAAATTAGTTTCCTTGAAATGCATCTAATCCAAATAGCAAGCAATGCTTTTTTCTCTTTTTTTATGGTATACATGTAGAAAAGCCCAAATTAAATTGAAGGTCTAATTTCATTCAAAATAAACATTGAACACACAGGCCTGATGATCCCGATTCCACAAATTGCCACATTGCATACACTGTGATTCAGGGAAACAGCATAGGACATAATCAGTCTCTTACCTCCTTGATAACTTGGTCAAAGGAAGGTGTGACTTCTTTCTGTACATTTCCGGGGCCTAAATCCTGGAAATCAAAATGAAAGAAGACAGGTATCTTGATGGTTTTATTTTTTATTTGATACTATTGTTATTTTTTTAAAGGCTTTATTTTTTTAAAGTAATCTCTACATGTAACATGGGTCTCGAACCTATAACCCCAAGATCAAGAGTTGTACCCTCCACTGACTGAGCCAGGCAGGCGCCCCTATCTTGATGGTTTTAAATAGAACTATTCAAACCGGTGGCCACCCTGTATGCCAACACTTACTGAGATGAAAGGGGAACTGACTGCTGGTCCCTTCTCCGAAAGACAACCAAAGAGCAATAACAACTTGCAAGGGAAATGGGCCCACGCATACAAATCAGCTCCAACATACCTCAACCTTGTCGCATTCCTGGTAATGCTACAAAGAAGAAAAAAGAAAAGAAAGGATGATTAGGGCTGTCATAGTGTCACTGAGAGAGGACATAAAATGAAAAGTTGGTTTTTTTTTTTTGGCTGCATATCTCCAGTAATTTCTATTTCTAATTAATCAGTTGGAAAGAAGTGTCTCTATGATGATCTTATTGCTAAGTTTAACATATTGGCCAGCTGGAGGAATAAGCAAATGCTCATGGAAACTCTTATCTAAAAAGAATAGGAAAACAAACCAAAACTAAATATCCAAGGGCATTATTTACTACACACACACATTCAGCAGAAATAAGCTGGTAAAAACATAACCTAGCCAAAAGCTATGGAAAAAGCCTCATGGCTTTTTCATGAAAAAGCAGAACCGGGCGCCTGGGTGGCTCAGTGGTTAAGCGTCTGCCTTTGGCTCAGGTCATGATCCCAGAGTCCTGGGATCGAGCCCCGCATCGGGCTCCCTGCTCCGCGGGAAGCCTGCTTCTCCCTCTCCCACTCCCCCTGCTTGTGTTCCCTCTCTCGCTGTGTCTCTCTCTGTCAAATAAATAAATAAAATCTTAAAAAAAAAAAAAGAAAAAACAGGACCGATGCCAAACAACCCGATTAAAAAATGGGCAGAGAATCTGAATACCCATTTTTCCACAGAAGATATACAGATGGCCACCAGGCAAATGAAAAGATGTTCAACGCCACTCATCATTGGGAAATGCAAACCAAAACCACAACAAGGTATCACCTCACATCAGTTAGATTGGTTATCACCAAAAAGACAAGAAATAACAAGTGTTAGAGAGGATGTGCAGAAAAATGAACCAATATTGTTGTTGGAAATGTAAACTAGTACAGCTACTATGGAAAACAGTGTGGAGGTTTCCCAAAAAAGTTAAGAGAACTTTCATAGGAGTGCCCGGCTGGCTCAGTTGGTAGAGCATGGGACTCTTGATCTCAGGGTTGTGAGTTTAAGCCCCATGTTGTACACAGAGATTTTTTTTTTTTTAAGATTTTATTTATTTATTTGACAGAGAGAGAGAGAGCACAAGCAAGGGAAGCAGCAGGCAGAGGGAGTGGGAGAGGGAGAAGGAGGCTCCCCACTGAGCAAGGAGTCTGACACGGGGCTTGATCCCAGGACCCCAGGATCATGACCTGAGCCAAAGGCAGACACTTAACCAACTGAGCCACCCAGGCGCCCCACGCATAGAGATAACTTAATAAAACAAACAAAAAGAATTAAAAGAACTACCATAAAATCCAGCTATTCCACATCTGAAGAATATGAACACTGATTTGATAAAATATATGCACCCTGATATTTATAGCAGCATTATTCAAAATAGCTAAGATACAGAAACAACCTAAATGGCCATCGATGGATGAATGGATAAGGAAATTATGGTATATATGCACAAAGGAATATTGCTCAGCCGTTAAAAAAAAAAATCTTGCCATTTGTGACAACATGGGTGGACCTTGAGGGTATCAAGTTAAGTGAAATAAGTGAGAAAGAGAAAGACAAAAGCTGTGATTTCACTCACATGTGGACTCTAAACAAACCAACCAACCAAACTCACAGACAGGAAGAATAGGTTAACAGAAGGGAAGGGGATGGAAGATGGGTGAAGTGGGGAAAGGGAGTCAAATGTACGGTGATGGATGATAACCAGGAAATCACCTTGTAATGAATACAGATATCAAATTATAATGTACACCTGAAACTTAAAATGTACTGATTTTACCTCACTTAAAAAAAAAAAAAAAAGTAGTACCAATACCAAATTAGGGCAAGGCTCTTTTCTTCACTGCACAAAAGAAGAGAGAATTGGTGCCAAGTCTGAATAGCTAAAATCGTCTCACTTTTCTGTTTGTATCTGTTTCTAAAACAAGCAAGAGAGATTTTGTTCTCCTCTAAAATACTAAATACTGCCAGAGTTCAGACTATATTGGAAGAGGAAATATTATTTGTGGGATATTTCAGAAATAGAAGACGGGCTAGGTGAAATAAAAGAATCAGACAACAGAGCCGCTAGACATACCAGATTAAAAAAATAGACAACACTTTCTTTTGTAAAAAGATTTAAAAGAAAATCAGAAGAAAGAGAACAAATTTCAAGACTAAGCAAAATGATGTTTTTGGGTCAAATTCCAGGTCTTTAGTTACAGTAATTCTAATAGTTTCAATTTCAGGCGTATTTAAAAATCCTTGCTCATTTCTAGACTTTGCTTTTTTTACCCCGTTAATAAAATTTTCTACCTGTCCTTTCTACATTATTCTGAACAGAATTCAATTTCATTCTTGTTCAGATATACAAAACTCTTTCTTATAAAAGGCTAACAATTTCAACAACCCTGAACTGGTCTTTCTTCCTGATGCATAAAGCTGCTTTTGATAATAAATGTAATACCAATCGCCTGTCATGCTACATGTGAAACACACATTCAGGGTACCTGCTTAACTCGACTTTATCTTACTTTTCCTGTATGATAACCAGAAGATCACCTTGTAATGAATACAGATATAGCACCTTTATAAATATAATTTTCCTGTATGTAAAGAAGCTTGTTCTCTAGCAGTACTTTCAGTTTTGTTCTAAGTCTACACACAAAGCCGGATGACTAGTGACAGCTGTCTTTCCATATGTAAAGCTCACTTCAGTAAGGGCAACACTTTCACTGAGCCCAGGGGAGGGTGTGGCTGGGGAAGAAAGACCAGTCATCAATCCACCAAAAACACGGGCCCATTAAGACTCCATTACTCTGACCCATGGGCCACCTGCATGTCCACATTTGGCCCACAGGCATAACAAGAGGAATAAGTGTAAAGTGGGTACAGCATGTAACTCTTGACCCCAGTGTCATGGGGCCTGCGAGTTCAAGGCCCACACTGGGCATAGAGCTTACTTAAAAAAACAAGAAAAAAAGAATGAGTGTAAAGAATAACAAAATGACTGAAGGGTGAAACAGCTTCCACGTGAGGAACCTACCGAAGAACCTCTCCAACTCAAAAATCAAGGAAGGCTGAAGAGAATTTAAAATCTAAGCCAATTAGCACTCATGTGGAATTTAAGAAACAAAACAAACGATCACAGGGAAAAAAAGGAGAGAGGGAGGCAAACCAAGAAACAGACCCTTAACTAGAGAGCACAAACTGATGGTTACCAGAGAGGAGGTGGGTGGAGGGATGGGTGAAATAGGTGACGGGGATTAAGGAAGGGCACCTGTCCTGATGACCACCAGGTGATGTATGGAAGTGTTGAATCACTATATTGTACACCTGAAAATAATTACACGGTATGTTAACTAACTGGAATCAAATAAAAACTTAAAATAAAAATCTAAGCCAATTAGATCATGAAACTGTTTAACAAAATCAAGACATGCTTATCAGATGATAAAACATAAGAACTGGGTTAATGTTTTTTTTGTGTGTTTTTTCAGTAAAGATTTTATTTATTTATTTGACAGAGAGAGACACAGCAAGAGAGGGAACACAAGCAGGGGGACTGGGAGAGGGAGAAGCAGGCTTCCCGCGGAGCAGGGAGCCCGATGCGGGGCTCGATCCCAGGACCCTGGGATCATGACCTGAGCCGAAGGCAGATACCTAACGACTGAGCCACCCAGGGGCCCCTATAACTGGGTTAATGTTAAAGCCTATAAAAATAAGTGAAGGATTGTGCCAAGTACTATTTAAATAAGCAGTTAGTAACCATTTGGAATTTAACACATCCGATGTATTATATAGGTTGATAATATTATATAGATTTGGTTAGCATACACTGTAACATTTTTTGAGCGTTAAGAGGACAGAGGATAACATACCTTGGTGCCAGTAGGAGACAAAATAATGAACTAGAAATCCCTTAGTTTTATATTCTCCACTACACTCATGCTAAATACCTTCCCATGGACTATTCTAAATAGTACAGAATTTGTATTCATAGCACTTTTATAAATACAATAAAGGGCCATTCTGTTTGACCTAAATGGTAATTGGTACAACTGAGAAACCAGTACTATCAGAATCATTAGCTTTGGCATTTGAGATGAAAAGAAGCTGGCAAAACAAAAGGATCAGTGAGAAAGAAAGAAACGTAACCTTGATGTTTTAACAAACATTTTTTGAAACACTGCAAACATAAGAAAAATTAATAATGCACCTACATATTCATCACCAAGGTTAAACTTGTTAACATATGCCCTTTTGCTTCGGATCTCTGGCCTTCTTAAAATAAAATGCCACAGAAACAGATAGCCAAAGTTCCACCTCTCATCTCTTCCCCCACTTCCCAAAAGTAACCACTAGCCTACAACTGATGTGCACTTTGGTAAGGTTAAAAAAAAGGTGTTTTTTGGGGCACCTGGGTGGCTCAGTGGTTAAGCGTCTGCCTTCGGCTCAGGTCATGATCCCAGGGTCCTGGGATCCAGCCCCAGGTCGGGCTCCCTGCTCTGCGGGAAGCCTGCTTCTCCCTCTCCCACTCCCCCTGCTTGTGTTCCCTCTCTCGCTGTGTCTCTGTCAAATAAAGAAATAAAATCTTAAAAAAAAAAAAAAAAAGAAAGAAAGAAAATCTTAAAAAAAAAAAAAGGTGTTCCCCCCGCCCCCAAATTTATGTAACGTAACACATTTGCAGAAGCAGGGCACAAAATACAAATGTACAATGGAATAAATAAATAAAAGGCAAATATCCATATAGTCATGATCCAGGTCAAGGAAAATCATTTCCATTACCCCTAGGCCCCATGCATGATCCCTTTTCTCTACTCTCTCCCCACAAATAACCACTATCCTGACTTTTATGTTCATCTTGTTAATTTTTTTCAAAAAATAAGTTTTTGGGGTGCCTGGCTGGCGCAGCCTGTAGAGCATGTGACTTGTGATCTCAGGGTTGTGAGTTCAAGCCCCACGCTGGAAGTGGAGCTTACTTTAAAAATAAATAAATAAAATATTTTTAAAAATAAGTTTGTAACAAAAATATTTTACTAGGGGTGATGTTAGAAATAAGAGGAAAATAACTCCAGAAAGAAATATGTGTTTCAATCAGCTTCTTTCCCCCTTCAAAGAAATAAAATGAGCTATACAGGAGAGCAAGTGTTTCTGCTCAGAATAACTGGTTCAGAGGAAGAAGGCTTGCAGATCAAAATCTATCACCTCATTTTATACAAATTCCCCTTGCATCCCAGGGAAGAATTATGAATGGGTATTTGAAGTAAATCTTTTCAAGAGGAAGAAAGGACATGGTCATAAATATATCTTTGAAATTGCTCTTGGTCAGTAGAACAAACTGTGCTTAAAAGGTAATCTAAATCTATGGGAAGATTACTTGATTTTCTTACCTGTAAAACTTTACCATGGACCACAGTTCCAAGGACACCTGAACACAGTCTTGGAGTTAAGCCTGTGAACAACCCACGCTTCCCATCGATGCTCGCAATGTGCTGAGCTGAGAACACAAGTCAGAGATTTAAATTCTAGCTGTAAGAAATGGTTACACAGAAATTTCATGTCAACAGGCTTTCTATATCTTTTCTTTCCAAAACTCCTGCCTACCTAGCACCGTCCTCAATGTCCTCCAAATTCCAAATAAATCAAAAACACTTACCATAACAAAAGAGACCAGGAAGCTGACATACTTGCCGCCCAAAAATATTTCGTCCTATTGTTGGAGGAAGAGGCTCATATCCCACCTTTAAAAACAAGAGAATATATTAATACTAAGCAATATTCCCCAAAATGTCTTGATTGCAAGGTTATAATTTTTAACCCCAGTGAAAATGCAGTGTATATTTTCCAAGGCAATGATGAAGTATCATCCTTGTCAGTTTCTTATTATATCAACTGATAAGACTAGTCTCAATAAACTCCAAGCTTTCTTTTGGTTCAAATTCTACAAAGTAAAATATGTAGCTGAGATAGACTAATATAAAACTGAAAATAAAATAAGGCAACTTTTGTGTTAGGAAAGTTACAGTTATACTAAGGAGTATCAAAAATATTTTCTAAAGAAAATCTAACACTTTTTTAAAAAAGAAAAAAAGATTGTATTTATTTATTTGACAGAGAGAGAGAGACAGAGCACAAGCAGGGAGAGCAGCAGGCAGAGGGAGAAGCAGGCTCCCCGCTGAGCAAGGAGCCGAATGTGGGACTTGATCCCAGAACCCCGGGATCATGACCTGAGCCTGAAGGCAGATACTCAACCGCCTGAGCCACCCAGGTGTCCCTAAAAAAATGATCTGTTTATCTTAGAGAAAGAGACAGAGTGTATGTGCTGGGGTGGGGGGAGGGAGGCAGGGGCAGAGGGAGAATCTCAAGCAGATTTGGCACTGAGCATGGAGCCTGACGCAGGGCTCAATCTCATGACCCTGAGATCACAAACTGAGCCAAACCAAGAGTTGGGATACCCAACTGACTGAGCCACCCAGGTGCCCCTCTAACACATTGTGGGTTTTTTTTTTTTTTTTTTTTAAATAATCTCTATGCCCAATGTGGGGCTTGAACTCACAACTGGGAGATCAAAAGACGCTTACACCCGAGACAGCCTGGCGCCCCAAATGCATTTTTTATATTTGGACAAAACAGACTAAGCCACCATCAACTTTTTTTTTTTTTTAAAGATTTTATTTATTTGAGAGAGAGAGAATGAGAAACAGCACGAGAGGGAAGAGGGTCAGAGGGAGAAGCAGACCCCCCGCTGAGCAGGGAGCCCAATGTGGGACTCGATCCCGGGACTCCAGGATGATGACCTGAGCTGAAGGCAGTTGCTTAACCAACTGAGCCACCCAGGTGCCCCTAAGCCACCATCAACTTTGTATTTGGCTAGGAAGATGAAACACTCAAAAGGCAAATGCAGAGAGAGCTGGATAATTCATGTGGGAAATAATTATAAGTTAAATCCATGTTAAACAAGCAGATTGTCATTAACAATCTAATGAAGGCCACTTTAGAGTTAATGATTATCATTTATTTTTACAATATATTCAGCATTTTTAGTACTAAAAGGAAACTTGAGAGAATGAATGCCATAGGACTTGGTTTTGACCCTCTACTGCCATGATTCTTAACCTGTTCAATTAAATAACTTCTGACTGAGCTTCTTCAAAGTGTTACCATACCACTATTTTTAAAACTGAGTATTTGGAAATTACACCAAAACCCTTAAGACACTTGGCAACAGGGTTAAGGATATTTGAATTTTTGAGGCAAGAGCTCTAAATGTCACTAGAAAACCCTTGCCTCCTCAAGAAGTTCTGAGTAATGGGCTCATATCAGTTTTACTGTGAAACGTCACCTCAAGACACAATCTAGCTACAAATGTGCCAATTGTGTTTGAGACGTCACAGCACATTTCAATCAAAGTCTTTGTTCTTAGTTAAAATTTCTTTTATAGTAGCGTTTTACGTATGGAATCTGAGTCCAATGGGTCAACCAAGCAACACACATTTTGGAGAAGCATCAACTCAAGAATAAGAAATGTGGCTCTCCCTAGCAACTTGCATATTTTTGACAGAAAGGCAGGACAGGAGAGGACAGAGGTTCTAACAACTGCTCCTTCCTTGGTACTATGCATAACATAATTATGTCAACTCTCAAAAAAGGTTTAAAAAAAATGAATGACATGCCCATCACAGGGAATTCTAGAAAGGCAACTGAAAATACTATCAAATAGTGTATCATCATCAGTTAAAACCTGGCTTACTTGCCTGTGAATATAAAATACCATTTAAGGATTATTTCACAGTAGATGAGAAACTAACATTAAATGCTTGAACTCTTTCATCTGAACTATTTCCAGCTCAGACAGATGCGATTTTCAGGGTCATGAGCCACATGGGCCGCTGTTGGGTGAGCGCTCAGTGAGCTCAGTGAATCCTTCCGAAATTTGAATCAGCAACCACTTCATTATCACTTCTGAATGAGCTCCTTGTGTTTACCTGGGTATCTGGTGCTAAAATCTCGGAACAGAATAGCAGCAGTAACAGCTGCAAATAAAAATTAAAGAAAAAAAGAGCTAATAAAGTGTTGGTCCCTTCGAATTTCAAATTTGTCTTTAACACATTTTCTGTCTTGCGTTTGGGGCGGCGGAGGAGGTGAATGCTGATTTCAGAGGGGCAGGAGGGGAGGGTTGGGAAGCTCGTGGTGGCAACTGGCCAGGATCAACCTCCGGGAAGAAAAAGCAAAGTTCAGAGGAGCCACCAGGACGGGAAGGGCAGGACGGCAGTTGGCTACGGGGAAAGGATCGGGCCTCCCCGCTTGGCAGGGGGGCGAGACCTGGGCAAGGCCTACGGGCAGTGGAATGAGCCACGGGCAGTGGAAGCTGTCCCTAAGGGGAAGGAAGGGGCAGCAGGGAAGGAGCAGCATCTCAGGGGACTGAAGGCCCGGGAAGGCTGGAGCCGATCGCCAAGCGCCGAGGGCAGCGGCGACTGAACAAGGCGCCAAGCGGGGAAGGGGATGGCGACGACTCATACCTGGATGAGCACCTTCACGTACATGAGCGGCTGGGACAGGATGGTGAGGCCGGAGCCCAGGAGCACCTGACTGGCCGCATCCGCCATGATGGCACCCGCGGACGGACAGACAGACCGAGCCACTAAGCGACCAAGCCGCTCCCGGATCACGTGCCAGGGCCGCCGGCTTCACTGGCCCGCCCGCGGCCCGCGCGCACGCACGCACCGGCGCGCGCCTCCTCGCCCAGTCCCCGCCCACCGCCCCGCCCCGAGAAACGGCAGGCGCTCGCGAGCCCGCGCGGGGGTAGGGGCGGGGCTTACGGGCCAGGGGCGCATGCGTTCTATAGTGGGATCTGCGCCCTCCACTAGGAATGGCAGTTTCTCTTGCGCTTGCGCAGGCCAGGAGCGTCCGCTGGAGAAGAATGGGCGTGGCAATGGGGGGTGTGACCCTGACAGCAAAAGGCAAGGTCAGAGGAATATAAAAGAATTGAAGAGAGTTCTTAGTTATGCTTTGCCTCTACCACTTGCCCTTTGGGCATTTGCAACATAAGGTACAAGGGTTTTCGGAACCATAAACAACCTAATGGCCAATAAAAACTAGTTAAGTCTGATATCGAACAATGAACTCATTAGGGGCTTGCTCTTCATTCATTCAATTAATGTCACCTTCTCAGAAATGGCTTCTCTGACCTCTATTTAAATTTACCTGCCCTTTATTTTCTACCATATCGTCCGCTGGCACTTATTGTCTGAAATTATTTGTGTCTTCCACCAGAATACAAGCTCTGTGAGTTCATGAACTGGGACAGCCTTTGTTCACTGTTGTCTATTCAGCGCCTGGCACATACTAGGTGCTCAGTAAATATTGCATGAATGAACAAATACTTCAGTGCCCTGGAGGCTACAGGCTATTAAAGGCAAAAGGAAAAGGGCATTGTCCTTAACCCTTCAGCCTCTAGTTCACATGTTCTGTAGCAAACACTTACGGAGGCGGAGCATGGCTCAGAGAATGAAGTACCTAGAGAAGACTTGCATTTGGTTCCTGGCTCTCCTTTGTATCTAAATGATTCAGAAAACATTTTATCTTCTGTTACTCAGTTTTTGTATCTAAGGATAACACTACTACCTACCTCTCAGGATTCTTTCTTTCTTTCTTTGAGGGGCCGTGGGGAGAGGGAGAGAATCTCAAGCCGACTCTGGCGTCAGAGGGCAGGGCTCAGTCTCACCACCGGAGATCATGAGATGAGCCAAAATCAAGAGTCGGACACTTAGCCGACTGAGTCACCCAGGCGCCCCCTCAGGGTTATTATTGATTGGCAAGTGGAATTATGTATAGTTTAAGATTTTTAAAAAACTGTATATTGAAATAGTTTGGGGAGTTTTTTTGGTTTTTGTTTTTAGAGAGAGAAAAAAAGCATGAGCAAGGGGAGAGGGGTAAAGGAAAGGTGAGAATCTTCAGCAGACCCTGCACTGAGCACAGCCTGACTCAGAGCTCCATCTCAGGACCCTGAGATCATGACTTGAGCCAAAATCAGGAGTTGTTCACTCAACCAACTGAGCCACCCAGGCGCCCCTGAAATAGTTTTAATTATTATTATCCTGTACTCAGCATGGTGCTAGGTGGTACTGGGGGGCAGTTTATAAAGCCAGAAGGAGCATGGTCTTTGAAGGCTAATAGACCTGGTCTAAATTCCATTTCTACCAGTTATTAACTATGTGATGGTAGGCAGTCACAGGACGTCTTTGAATCTTCTTAGACAAATAAGTATAGTAATGTCTACTCCAACAGTTGTGAGGATTGAATGAAATAATATGCCTACGCAGCTTGGCTCACAAAAATATATTAAATTGTAGGGGTGCCTGGGTGGCTCAGTCAGTTAAGTGTCTGCCTTCCGCTCAGGTCATGATCTCAGGGTCCTAAGATCGAGCCCCGCATTGGGCTCCCTGCCCAGCGGGGAGTCTGCTTCTCCCTCTGCCCCTCCCCTCTGCTCGTGCTCACTCTCTCTCTCTCTCAGATAAATAAATAAAATCTTTAACATATATATATGCATATATATATTAAATTGTAGCTTTTAGAATTACAAGAAACTTACACGTTGCTTCTAACTAAATCCAGAAATTATTTAGACATCAATACATTTGATAACTAACAATAGTGTCTAACCAGACAATGATTAATTACCAATAGAGACCATCTACCGAGAGTACTCTTTTTTCTTGATTTTGTGCGTTAATGGTGCCAAGAAAATATCCATTGTCTGCCCCACTGATGCTTGTGGGCACTGAGAGGTAAAGAGCTTCTTGCAAGGATGGGTGGGTGGGGAATGCAGGGTGCTCTACCATATTCTCCAGTGGTGCAAAGCAGAAGCTACCCATAAAGTTTTGGGAGAATCTGCAGAAAGGGAACTGAAGTCAGTAGCATAGATAAGCAAAGTGCAAAAGGTATAGGGTTGTTATACGCAGCTGCCCGAGCTGTGTACTGTGCAACTCACAGAGACTATGATCTGAATGAGTGGTGTTCCCTGATAGAGTTCAATATGGGGAGTTGTAGTTTGGTGATCCATATTCAAGTGGTGAGAGGAATAAGTCAAGGGGCGCCTGGCAGGCTCAGTAAGTGGAGCATGCGACTCTTGATCTCGGGGTTGTGAGTTTGAGCCCCACATTGGGAGTAGAGATTACTTAACAATAAAATCTTTAGGGGCGCCTGGGTTGCTTAGTTGGTTAAGTCTGTCTTCAGCTATGTACAATGTTTATATATCCCCAAATTAAAATCCTTCATATATATAAGCAGCCAATTAGGAAATACAGTGGAGTAAAAGGCCCTATTTATAATAGCCATCTAAAACAATGTGACACTTGGAAAGTCTGGGTGGCTCAGTTGGTTGAACATCCAGTTCTTGTTTTCGGCTCAGGTCATGGTTTCCGGGTCATGGGATCAAGCTCCAGGTCTGGCTCTGTGCTCAGCACGGAGTGTGCTTGAGAGAGTCTCTCTCTCCCTCCCCCCACATTCTGGTTAAGTGTCACCCTTTTTTGGAGTTTATTTATTTATTTGAGAGAGAAAGAGCGAGCGCACATGAGTGGGGGCAGCCGGGGGGAAGGGTTGAGGGGGAGGGAAATTGAGGTGCTGAAATCAAAGGAAAGGCAAATGGAGTCGTGAGAGAGGCTGAAAAAGTGGTGACACCTTGTTGGGCCCCAGGGGCAGGTTGAGGGGCAGAAAGGGTAAATGACCCCCGGGCAGGGGAAGCAGTATCGTATTTCTTCCCACAACACTGCTGTGAGAGTTATTATGTAATGTACTGGTGCCGTATTAGTTTCTTATTGCTGTTATATTATCACAAACTTGGTGGCTTGAAATGACACAAATTTATTATCTTCCAGTTCTGGAGGTCAGAAGTCTGAAATAAGTCTTACAGGGCTAAAATCAGGCTGTTGCCAAGGCTGTATTGCTTCTAGAGGCTCCAGGGGAGAATCTGTTTCTTTGTCTTTTCCAGCTTCTAGAGGCTGCCTGTATTCCTTGGCTCATGGCTCCTTCCTCCATCGATCCAACCTCTTCTTCATCACAGCTCCTTCTTCTGACTCTGATCTTCCTGCCTCCTTTTTATAAGGACCCTGGTGTTTTAGGACTCACTCGGGTAACCCAGGATAATCTTTTTGTCTCAAGATCAGTAATTTAATATGTCTGTAAAGCCCCTTTTACTACAACAAAGAATTATTATTGAAAAAAAATTTTTTTTTAATTTTATTTTTTTACGTGACAGAGAGAGACACAGCGAGGGAGAGAACACAAGCAGGGGGAGTGGGAGAGGGAGAAACAGGCCTCCCATGGAGCAGGGAGCCCAATGCGGGGCTTGATCCCAGGACCCCGGGATCATGACCTGAGCTGAAGGCAGATGCCCAATGACTGAGCTACCCAGGCGCCCCTGAAAAAAATTTTTCTGAAGTAGGCTCCATGCTGGGCATGGGCAACATGGAGCCCAACATGGGACTTGAACTTATAACCCTGAGATCAAGACCTGAGCTGAGATCAAGAGTCAGACCCTTAACCAACGGAGCCCTCGGGCACCCCAACGAAGAATCATTTGACCCAGATGTCTATAGTGCTGAGATTGAAATGCCCTGGTGTCAGCGTACCTAATCTTAACAATGACACGAACACAATCATACACACACACCATAAGAATGCACAGTTTGAATATTAAGCATATTTTGTTTCAAACATCCTTTTTAGAGCCCTCATATATTTATAGACTTCTCTATATATTTTAAATTCTTTAATAGTTTATCCAAGTATTATATGGGTTTACTTTATCTATCTAAACTTTGGATTCACCTGCAATTTACTTTGGTATATATTGATTTTCTCCCCAAATATCTATATACATGTTCCCAAAACTCGATTTTTTTTTTTAATTTATTTTAAGTAGGCTCCATGCCCAGTGTGGAGACCAGTGCAGGGCTTGAACTCATGATCCTGAGATCAAGACCTGAGCTGAGATCAAGAGTTGGACACTCAGCCAACTGAGCCACTCAGGCATCCCTACCGAAAACTCTTTTTTTTTTTTAAGATTTTATTTATTTGACAGAGAGAGACACAGTGAGAGAGGGAACACAGGCAGGGGGAGTGGGAGAGGGAGAAGCAGGCCTCCCGCCGAGCAGAGAGCCCAATGCAGGGCTCGATCCCAGGACCCTGGGATCGTGACCTGAGCTGAAGGCAGACGCTTAAGGACGGAGCCACCCAGGCGCCCTGCTACCAAAAACTCTAATGAAGAATTCTTCCTTACTGATTTGAAGTGGCCCTTAATTATATACAATTTTTAAAGCACTGTGTTCTATTGCTGGGCTTTCTTTCCCTCCCCTCCCCTCCCCTCCCCTCCCTCCCTCCCTCCCTTCCTTCCCTCCTTCCTTTCCTTCTTATGGTTGTAACTCTTCTCTCTTCATTGCACTTCTTTGTTTCTTATTGTTGGACTTTCTGATTCATTGATCTATCTATCTATTTATAACCTAATACCAAACTGTTTTAAATATTGGAGGCTATGGTTTAATATCTGGTAAGGCCAGTCTCTCATTATTCTTTGCTTCCAGAATTTTCCAGCTTTTTCAGTTTTTTCACTTGAACTTCAAAATAAGCTTGCCCTAACAAATTTTTTAATTAGTATTTTTGCTTGAAATTTAAATTCACATGAAATTAGCATTTGAAGTTAAAGAGAATTGACATATTCATGACATTTAGTCTTACATACAAGAATATTTCCAT